ATTCATCATTTATTAACAAAACCCTCAACACCTACTTTACCAAATATTCTAATTCCCTCCTCGGACATAATCCTCATACAAAATGTATCAGGTTGTTTATGTCTTGAAATTGTAAGACAATATTATTAAGAAGTTAGATAGTATCATTTTCTATCTTAGAAATAGCAGTAATGTGGTCTTCTTCAACTTCAAGTAACTATTTAGCAAACTCTTCTTGTTTAGCAGCATCTGATAAATTTATAGTATGAAGACACATATTGATCTTTAATGTTCTCTTCTTTACATGCTACTATAAAGGTGATCTTAGCAAAGAAGAGCCTACAATATCTTCTCATCTTCCTCTTACTACAACAAGTAGAGTTTGTCAAAAATCTTCTCCTAGTACTACTACCTTGCCTATAAATAGTATTTCATTTAAATTTAAATTTACAACTTTCATGAGATCTTTTAATGTTCAATCAACAGCTTCAAACACATGTCAATATATCATCAGAGCCTTATTCCAGATAATAAAACACACTTTCTAAAGAAGTAAAGCAAGTTCTGAATAATAAAAAATAGAGCAGGTAGAGTCTTCATATAACTTGAAAAGAATTTTGAATTAGAAATGCATAGTCCAGCTACCTGGTAAAAGAAGAGCAGCTACTGAAAGAGCAATTTACTTACATAAATGAACTTCTTTAAGCAATATACTAGATTATAAACAGAATATATTAGATAAGTTTAAATAATAAAAAAATAAATATTTATATAATAATAGAGATTTTTTACTTATATAGAAATGTTTTTTCTGTTTTACCTAGACTATTTACTATGAATATAGTTAGATTCTAAACTTCTACTGCAACAATGACTTCTTCAAATATAGCTTATTGGTCTTTATTTAGTTTAGGTAATCTATTTTTAACAATTTGAATAAACTTATCTATATTATATTGTTGTTCTTCATAAATTAAATAATTATCTTAATTTTTATCAGAGTAAGTATTTGGAATAGGTATCTTAGAAAATTCTTTAAGACACCTTCCATGTTTACTTAAAATTGACTGTAGGTGATTAAGAGCTCTATTATTTAAATTAGCATCTGTGAGATTAAGTATAGTATTTTCATTATAACAGGCTTGAAATAAGATATTATTACTTAGAATATAAAAATATTTTTCTCAAAGAGTTTCTAGTCTTATTAGTTTGCAAAATAAAAGAAGAGTAGTAAATAAACTATATAATTATACTTCAGATTGTAGTTGTTTAGCTTCTGTTAAGTATAAATTCTATTCTATATCATCTTGTAGAAGATCTAAAGCAGCACATGCTTCTTTAAAAGATGAATAAGTAATATTTTCTACTGTATAAAGATTTTTAAATAATATTGCAATATGAATGACACTTAGCAACATTCTTAAGTAATATATTTTATCTGCTATTAGATAAATAAAGTATATTTAGCTAATAATATTTCTTTATTATCTTGGCTTCCATTTATTTATTTGCTTTTTTAAACCTGAAGTTATATAATGTTTAGCTTCTTATCATGCAATCAATAATAAAATAATCTTTATATAGATTTAGAAGATATAAGCATACTTCATTATTATTACTTCTAATTTTTATAGTAGTACAGTCATAGTCTTTATATATATACTTAAAAAGGTATTTTACTACAGTAATTAAAATACAAATTTTAATATTTATATAACTATTATATTTAGTTATAAGGTATAAATTGAATAGTACTACTTAATAATTATCTAAATTAATACCTTTTACTTCTACAGTTTGACTATTATTTCTTTGTTAGTAAATTGAATATCTATTTTTATTTTCTATAGTAGTTTCTTAAAATTGTTTTAGAAATTCTTTAGAGTATCTGCTATTTTCTATATATAGAGAATTTAGCCTATATATACTATATAAACTATATATTATTAATTATCAAACAGTTTTGGATCACTATCTTTGTTAGAGATCTTAGCAAATACTATTGTATTATAGTTTTTTATTGTTCTAGATTTATGTTCTTCAGCAAGAATAAGAAGAATATAGTCATATAATAATCTATGTTTTTGGAATTCTATTATATAAAGATAAGCTATAATATTTCCAAAAATATATTTATTTAAAATATCTTTTATTATTTTTTTTAATTTTATATTAAAAACATGAGTAATTAGATCAGATTAGTCTTGTAGTATTTGTTCTAGCAAGAATATTTTAGTAATCTCTAGCTATTAAGAATTATATATCATAGTAATTAATAAGTCAGATTTATTTAATTTTCTTATAATTGCTATTCTATCTTAGTACAGTTTCTGTATTTAGTGAAGCCTACCTGTAAAGGTTGATAGCAAAACAATTTACTGCTCTATATTTTCTACCTCTGCTATATTATCTTCTGCATATAACATATCTTGAAATCTACTATATAATTTAGCATATATTTTTTGATTATATTTTATATAATTAAGATATATTTGTTCTACTATTACATATATATCAACTATCTACTACTAAAAAAGCTTCTTAAATCAATACATGATAATTGCCTTATTCAAATGACCAATTTGAAGCTTATATGCAAAATAATTTTTTTTTTTTTTTTTTTTTTATAAGTAACTTCTTTGGTCATATATTTTTATTTTTTTTTTTTATTTTTTTTTTTT